CAAATTTACAAAAAGATGACTTTTTACCTTTCATTTATAAGTAATTTTTAATCACATTATTGCTAAATACTTCTTTTTAAACTTAAAAATTACAATAATAACGATCATGTTGTTCAACATTAAGTAGATCGGTCTATCTGTCGAGTCGCTGTCACCGAGCAATACTGTAACAATATATTCAAGTGTGTATGAAATGTTAGTATATTGTTTTAATTGTTATGTGTGAGTTTCATAGCGACAGATGATTGTTTTTGTGTCCGCAGATTTCCCCCAGTAAAAAATTACAGACAATTAGAGCTATTCGGAAGTTTTCAGGATAGTTCGGGATCATCCGGAAGCGCTCGGTATTGTTCGGAAACAATTATGTAGTTAGCGGCCGGCTAGTTAGCTCCGTTAATCTCGAAGAATCGAGAGAATCACGAAGCTTTTTTTTAAATCTAAGTTAAATATGTTTTACTTATATTTTTTAAATGTAAAATAAACTTTGTTGTATGTACATAAATACATATTTGCATACTGTATTTGTAGTATAATTACTGACCTAATTGTTCTTATAATTACCGTCCGATAGACCGGAATTTTCGGTAGTCCGGCACCGAGCCGGTCCCGAACGTGCCGGATTATCGGACTTCTACTGTATGAGATTTTTTTTACTTTCCCATACTACAAACGACTATAAGGTCGGATATATCAAAGAAAAGTTATTTAATATCTTCGTTTTATTAATCTAAATATAATATTATCAAAACATTAGAATGAGATAACAATATTCGTTTTTAAATATGTATTTTTTTACAATAAAATCCAATCGTATAACATACTCCAGTCCACGATAAAAAACTTTTTAGGTGTTTCAAAACCATTTTTAGTCATTTATAAAAGTTAATTAAAAGCAGGTTAATGATTGATGATCTAAAGATTAAAAATACAGCAGATAAATAGCGTTAGCTAGACACCGTTGGATACATTTTTTTCGTATGGATGTAGCGTAAATATGAATAATGACGATGACAGACCTATCGAAAAATTGTGACACCTACCATAAAACTCTGCTCTATATTGACAATTAAATAAACAAACCACGATAAGTTTCTCATGGTGCCTATCAAAAGTTCTAAGGACAAAAAAACAACTTTATTTTTAACGTGCAACAAAAGAAAGACAAAAGAGTTTCTTTTAGCCTACTACTAAAATGGAGATGATTCTCAAATTCAGATTGTTTTCTGTACATAAGTTATGCAATATTTTTGTCAATTGTGAATCGATTTTAATTTTTTTGTATAGGCTAAGATGACAAACGAGCACACAGCACACCGGATGGTAAGTGGTTGCTGTGGCACATAGACATCTACATCTATCCTCGATTACGAATAAAAATGCAGATGCGTTGTCACCCGTGAGGAGTAAGATGGAATGCCTCGTTTCCAGTAAAAAGGGTCTCCAGTTCTCTACACTCACTATACGAAACACCGTCCTTATCCGGTCGAGCCGACCCATTCGTGCTACAACTATACTTCTAATATAACTGCAGCATGGCTCTACCACGTATAAAATGATTCTTTAATTTATTTAATAGGTTTAATACGTGAATAGTGCAACCGTACATTTCAGTTTGTAAGCGATTTATTTAGGTCAACATCATTTGCGTCATTTAATTTTGTTGCCTTTTTAGTTCTGTCGTTTACATATTTACCGGCAATTTTGGATCTGGAACTGTTTAATATTCAAATTTGTTGAAAGGCAGAATCTCAAAACAATTGAAATTATAAGGATTAATGCTATTATTTAGTCCCAGAGTTGTTTTGAATCTGTCATGTCGCGTAGGTATAAAAATGAATCTTACTAAGAAAAATATCTGTGCAATAATTTTCTACAAATTTCGAAGAGGTCTAAAACGGCTTCAGTGTTTCGAAGAGCTAACTTCTGTGATCCATGATGAAGCCCCATGTCTGAGGAGAGTCGAAAGCTGGTATTCAGAAATTCAGGATGGACATACCAATCTTAGTGACAAATCTCGTGAAGGACGTCCAAAAACAGCCTTCACCGAAGATAACATCGTTGCTGTGAGAAAACTAAAACTCGAAGATCGATACCACCCAGAAGATCTTGCATGAAGCACGTGGTGTTAAACAGCTAATTTGCCCTTGGATTCCGTATTGCTTTCCGACGATTATAAGGCGAACCGCGTTAGATGGTGTATGATAACTATTCAAAGGTTCAACCGAGGAGAGTCAAATCACGTTTACGACATCATCAGTGGTGACGAATCTTGGATCGATACCTACGATCCCGATACTAAACTACAATCTACAATCTGTGTCTTACAAGATGAGCCCAAGCCGATTAAAGTTGTTCGCTCTCAAAGCAGTTCACAGAAAATGGTGGCGACGTTCATTGCGAAAACCGGCCATGTTGCGACGATTGCACTTGAAGATCGTGAAACGGTTAATGCAGAGTAGTATACCACAGTTTGTTTACCACAAGTCATCGTCGAACCTCAGAAATCGATCACAAAGCGACGCATCATCCTACACCATGGCAACGCATTTAAATGAAACTATAGTTAACATACAACTTCAAGATATTATACATTAACTTTGCGTGGATCGGACCAAAAATTAATAATTTTATACTGAAGGTAGCCGTGGTTACCTATGACATTAGGAAGTCGAACACCTCTGTCCCCCGTGACCATGTTCATGGGTTCTGTAAAATAATCGAAACGTCGGGAATATAAAATAAATTAAGATACGCGATAAAATTCGTAAAAATTAGAATCATTTAGACATAAGTACAATTTAAATAAAAAGTGTGCTATTTCCTATAAATCACTGGTTGCTCAATGGATAAACTCTCGTTATACATAAATTTAACAGTACGCGAGCAACCCGAGTCCGATCCGCACAGGATGCAGGCGCCTATGAAATTCTTAGATACTATTATAAGATATGATTTATCATGTACTTGTTGCGAAGGAAAACATCATAGCGAACCTACATGTGTGAAGATTTAAATATTTCAAGAATCAGAAATTCACCAATTTGCACTGAGCAGCGCGACGAGCTTTTTGCTTCAAAACCCTCTATGAAATTAGTGCCTGTGACCATCAGTGTCCGTCATCAATTTTACTTTTGTACACAATTTTTTTTATTCACGTCGTTCATATTCATAACACTCCCGATTTAAGTGGCCGTTAGTAAGTATAAAGTAACGACAAAGGAATGGCCTGACTGTAGATAATTTAACCAAAATGGCATTTGCGCTTAAAAACCAACCTATGACCATAATTATGCGGCCTGCACTTTGGACCAGATTGCTTGCTGGTGGATCATAAGTCGATGGTGAATTAGGACTACTGCCACCTTGCGACTCCTGTGACTTATTGCCTTAGTGGCACGCAATTTTGAGGAAGAGGTACTCTTTGAATTTGGTAATACAAAATACTTTGCATCAATTCCCACAAAGTAACGCCTGATTCTAATTTATTACTGGAAAAACCAGTTTTACATGGATATCCATTTAAATTTGACATGTCTTGCACTACACACACACACACGCACGCACGCACACAACGCACGCACGCACGCACGCACGCACGCACGCACGCACGCCGAGAGCCTGCCCCCTTTCTAAACATATTACTTGTACTTCTGCAAAGGTTATTGAAAGACATGGTTTTACAGAATTCCACATAAAACAGTGTGAAATGCCAAATCAGGTTGCACGAGTCAGCAGTTGAGTCATGATGAATAATACCTATTTGATTACCTATTCATGTTCATATAACAACCGCCTAAATAGTGTACGTACATTTACCGTCTAAATAATGTGTGTACATACTAAGAGTGAATATGTCGAGCGAGCTTATAATCTAATATACCGTTCATCTGATTGCGGTAAAACTTTGTCAACATATTGCTTGTACTACCGCAAAGGTTAATATGCATAGTTGGACCCGGTAGGGTGGCGAAGTTGTAGAATTCAGATATCACCCGTGCGAAGCCGGGGCAGATTGTTATTAGGTATAATATAACAAACTTGTTTTACCACGTAGCCATCACAATATGTAATGTGTAAATTTATAAGTTGAAATTTCAGCTTAGGTTTTCTGAACCATGCCATATGTGAACCTTTTTGATACATATTTAGAGATATTTGTCATTTACATATAAAAAGATAATATTAAACATTTTTTAAATTAACATTTTATGTATTATTATCATTGCAGATTATGTATTGTATAAATTCATACGCGAATTTATTATGTAGTTGTGTTATATTTAGGTAGATCAAACACACTGGTCGCCTTTGTATAAGTAAGATTTATGGCTTATTTATTATAAGACCACGCCTACTATTCGTAATCAAATTTTTCACCAGTCCAATCAGCTTCATTTAATACAAATATTAATTCCTTGTCTTGATATTATAGTGCACATTCACACTATTCCTATAATTGAGTACAACCACTATAATAATATATAACAAATATACAAGCGCTTTTGTCGATTACATTTTATACAACTTATAATCGCACTTATAAATGCCATTTATAATTGAAAATTTTTGCGAAAACCCCCTGAAGCTGAAATATGCTGGATTGACAAATGATAACAGTGTTATTGTTAAGAGCTGTTTAGACTGTCTAATTTAAATCGTAAGTTTGAATCCGCCCTAAAAGTACCTACTGTCGTGAACCACCGACAATCTTTTTGAGCTTACTGGGAGTGATTAACGGGAAAAGTAGTATTTTTAAAATAATTTATTTAATACAGAATTGTAGAAAATTTACAAGGGAAATAAAAAATCGAAATGGGAATACGAAAAAGGAAATTAAATGTAAATTTTCATAGATTTTCTACCTCTTCGGGAAAACCATAACACTTTTAGGTTCAGGATCTTTAATATGAAATAACTAGAATGATTTTTTCATTATGAAAAACGTTCATACTCAACTAACTACATATAACATATAAGTGAGCGGTGGATATATTTAACAGTTATGAATAGGTTCGGTCGGGGGCACCCACGCTTTGGAACAGACGACGCGACAAATCGTCAAGGTTGACGTTCAATGATACGGCGCGCCGGCGATTTTTCAGTGAAATAGTTTCACCGAGCGGTGACGGCAACGTCTGAGCCGCACACGGGTCGATGCCCTCGCGGGCCGCCACGCGATTTGGCTCCACTCGACAACTGCAAGCGATCCGTACCAGCCAATATACTCCTTGCTTTACACGTACCTCCAACACTAACGATCCTTCTAGCAGCCTCATACAACAGTGTCTTTAGCACTAATATAAATTTTTATACGTGGTAGAGCCACGCCGCAGTTATATTATGGTTGTAGCACAACAAATGGATCGGCTCTACCGGGGAAGGGCTACGCTCTAACAAAATACCAGCGTAAAATAGCAGCTTCATGCTGCTGTATTTCGTATGGTGAGTGTAGAGAACCGGAGAGATTTTTTATACTGGAAGCGAGGCATTCCATCCCAATCCTCAGGGGTGACAACGCATCTGCATCTTGATTCTTAATCGAGGTTAAATGTAGATGTCTATGGGCTACAGCATCCACTTACCATTATGTGGACTGTGTGCTCGTTTGTCACCATAATTCTACTTAAAAAAATACAGCCTCTGCTTAGACAATTTGAGTGAAGATTTATGAAATAATAGATTTTTAATACTACGGGTCTTGTAGGCACTAAAGCCCGTACCACTACAGTCATTTCAATATGTTTTTTGTGAGCAAGATATTTTATAATTTATTTAGAACTGTAGAGACGATTGATTTATAAACGCTCGACATTCACATTCATTATTTATATCTTATCAAAGTCCACAGATGATCAATAGGCCTCCCTATAGATTGTACCACAAGGGGATATTTTCCATATGCCATGGGTTGGCAACCGTAGTGTTTTTTTTAATTTTCAGCAGTTATCGGAAAGATGGTGCTGCCCATCTCCTGTTTCATTTATCTCTAGTCGCTTATTACAACACAGGACGATAGGGTAAGGGATATTCTTACACCACCATTTAAAATTCTACTTGTTTATTCTAGTCGTGAAAAACACTAAAAAATATATATTATGCAAAATGCTTTGTCCATAATAATGGGCAAAGCATTTTGCATTAATGAAAACATAGAATACGCGAAAAATTGTCTGTTAATAAAATCGTAACGTTCTCAAATCGTGCTGGCTACATCCGTAATATACAAGTGACTCCACAAGACACCGCAGACAAAGTAGGCGTGTAATTGCTCACCTGTGCCAAACCTTAACTGAGAAGAGACGTAACAATTTCGCCGCTGTTTTTTAATGTTTGATAAAACATAGACTACATACTTTATAAGATGTCGTTAAACGCGACAGTTACGACCACTTAATGCTTTATGTGAGTGAAGTCGGAAATATTTTTGCATCGTTTTTTAATAATGTTGACGTAAGTGTACGTTAATTAATATGTTTTATTAGAGCGCCCAATCAATCACTGTGTTTTAATGGGTTAGGAGTTATGTGCGGTTACGGGAGGCCTGTGCTGGTTGTATTCAACATGCATCACCCTCAAAACAAATAATATTTAATGATTTAGATGAATATTGTAGTAATCTCTAAGAGCGTCGATATGCTATATATATAGCAAACCCCAAAAACTCTCTTGGACACATAAAATATCGGTGCACACTCTACTCTACTCTTTTTTACTACTCTTTTTCCAAATAATTCAACCATATTTGCATAATCGAATATATTTATAAATAACTAGCGATCGATTAATTTTTTTTGCTTGCACTTACTTTTGTGAGGTTGAGATAGTCATGCAATGACGTGTGTTGACTGACTGTTGTAGGGAGTTTTTACAGCTGTGTGGTGACGTCCCATCAAACGTTTTCAATGGAATAGTTACAAGAGATGAAACTTGGGTTCACCACTATGACTCTGAGAGTAAACAGGAGTCTATGTAACCCCCCCTCCCCCCAGAAAGTTCAGTCTCTCCATCGTGTATATTCCAAAGGATTACTATTGATCGAGAACACAAAAAAAGGTGAAACCCATCAACTCAAACAAATACTCAGTCACATTACGCCGTTTGAAACAAGCAATAAAAGAAAAGAAAAGATGATAGCTGACCAAGGGAGTGCTGCTTCTTCATGACAACGCACAGCTTCACGCGGCGCGGGTCCAAGGCTGCTGTACGAGACTGCGAGTTTGAGGAAATTAACCAACCACCATATAGCCCAGATCTAGTCGCTAGTAACTATTTTTTATTCCCAAACTAAAAAAGGGCCTACGGGAAAAACGATTTACTGAGGATAATGAGCTCAAGTTATTATAAATAAATTAGCATTTTTTAGGAAAAGGCGAATAATATTTTTTCAAGGTAATAAAAAACTTTTTTTTCACGAAAAAGTAAATGTATTGATGTCATGGGAGACTATTGAAAAATAAAAAAATATTTCATAATTTTATATTTTTTCTAATATATATACATATACAATACAGATGTAAACTTTAATTTTATTCATATTATATTGTGTATAGATTTCATCAATGGTATTTTTAAACCAAAAGGTTCGCGAGTGGCAGCGTACCGGTAGGTGAAGTGCAGGACGACTCCCACTAAATAAAGACGACCTGGTAAGACATGCAGGAAGTCGATGGATGAAGGTGGCTCAGGACCCTGCTTTGTGGCTTTCCTCGGGGGAGGCCTATATTTAGCAATGGACTATTGAAAGGCTATAATGATAATGATGACGATGATGATTTTTAAACAAATTCGATAATTCAGAGATCCACCTGCCAAGCGTAACATTTATGGCAAATGCTGTTTATGGGAGAGTGAATTTTGACTGGCTGATGATGAAAAGGAAGACGATAAGGTGTCATTTTGAACCCTTAATGTTCTACGATTACGTGATAGATTAAGGCAGTCATATCAGCTATGTTATGGTTGTAGCACGAATGGGTTGCCTCGACCGGAGCAGGACCACACTCTCACAGAATACCAGCGTAAAATAGCAGCTTAATGCTCCTGTGTTTCGTATGATGAGTCTAGAGAACGGGAGAACCTTTTAACTAGAAATGAAGAATCCATCTGTCCTCAGAAATAACTACGCGCTAAAAATGCAGACATTTTGATTCATAAAAGCCTTTACTGCTGTAACTTGATAACATGTATAGTATAACATTTTTATTAGAACTATATGTAAGTTAATTGTGTTTGACAACGTTTAGTTTGTCTACCTTCGTTCCGTTTACTATCTCGCGGGTACCATTCCTTTACTAGTCTCGTCGACTTTTCTGTTCCTTATTTTAGCATGTGTCCTGTCCATCTCCATTTCAGGTGTCTGTAGACAGTATTTATGTATGTATTTAAATTTAGTTGTAATCTTACTTTGTCTCTTATTTTACTCCAATTACACTTCTTTCGATTCCCTTCTGACTTACTTGGATTTTTTTGAGTTGTTGTTAAGTTAGGGCCCATGTTTGACATCCATACGACAGATATGGAAAGATATACGTATTATATATTTGCCTTAGTAGTATAAGACTAGTGAGTTATTAGTATAAGACTTTGTAGACCTTATACTTTTGAAGCACCTGTTTTAATACGTGAATGTGGTCTATTGTCGAAAATTTACTTCGGGAGCCAGCCTGTTTTTTGGGTTGGTTTTAATCAAGCGTGATAGATCTTTGAGAATATCTTATACATATTTGACATTACACTTATTAAGTAGTCTGTAATTGTTCATATCTCCTTTGTCACCTTAAAGTTACAGCATATAGATATACGTCCCGCTCCTGGGCACAGGCCTCTCTCTCATTTCTGAGAGGGTTTTAAGGCAAGGAATTGTGAAGAATTGTGTTGGCACTTCTTCTTCACATGTCTTCGAAATATTTTTTTCTTATTTCTCAGACATGCAAGTTTCCTCAATATGTTTTCCTTCACCGTCGAGCACGTGGTAAATCAGCACTTAAAAATTCAATAAACAATGAATTGCAATTAACAATTTCATTGGTGCCGGCGGGGATCGAACCCGGTTTGCTCGCGTACTGTGAAATTTACTGCGAGCTCTAACCATCTGCACTACCGCGGCTTTGTCCCCTTATTTGTGTATTAATACTATATTTAATTTTCTCCAATCGTTAGGAATATATTCGGTTGATAAGATGTTGTTGAATAGTTCTGTTAGTTTAGAAACAAGTACCGGTATTGAACATTTTATATCTCATTAGTTATTTGATCTGAACCCGGCGCTTTGTCCAGTTTCTGTGTTGATAGCTCTTATAGTTTCTGCTTGAAGTATTGTTGGTACTGATTGAATGCTGTCGTTTGTCTTTGATATAGTATAATATAGTAGTCTGTGGCGATTTTGAGTACTTCGTGTCTTTTACTTGTAGAACTTCCATTTTTGGTGTTTATATTTGGCGTTCAAATTTTCTTTTGGTTTAATTCCTTGAATGTTTTTTTTATCCCTACAGTTTTTTCAATAAAAGTTTTTATAGTTTTCTGCCTTTTTACTTTCCTGTCTTTTCTTATCCTATTTTTTTTAATTCGGAATTCGGATATCTTAAAACGTGTAAATTTTTTTGTTTATGTATTATGTTCCTTACTCTCGTCAATCAGTTGTTTAGTTTCTAAGGATAATATACTTTCAGCTTGTTTGTTTGTTTTACCGACTTCTGTTTTGAATATATGTAATATGTTGTCGTGTTGTTCCTGAATTGGTTATAGTTTAATTTTACAAATGTTTTTGTATATTTCCGTTCAATAAATTATTTAAGGTTATCGAGGAGTATATCACCTATTCCAGTAGATACGAAGGTGGTTTTGTATTTATTAATATGAAAATATCTCCTCTTTTGTACTTGTTTTCCGAATAGTGATGTCCTTATCATTCTGTGGTCTGTATGGAATTTAGGCTGGTTTACATTACATATTTTATTAAAAAAAAATCGCTTGTTGGTCAGGATAAAATCGATTTCATTCTTGTACTAGCCGTTAGGTGACATCGAAGTCAATTTTCTTGACCTCATTTTCTTACAGAAACTATTTAAAATGCTCAGTTTGTTTTCTAGTGCAAAAGTGACTGATCAGTTTCTACTTCTTTGGCCATATCCATGTTTTCCTATTGTATATTCTTCTCATTTCCTACAGACTCTTATTTCACCAGAATCAGTTTTGTTGTCGTCTTCTTCATTACCTGATTCTGTTGGTGAATATGCTTTAATTATGATATTTATTTTTATGTAAAGGCAACTTGATG